AACCAAACATCAAATCGTAGTAAGCGGTAAGTAGGGTTTGTCATCATCCAATATCCGGCACCTAATATTTAGGCCGTCAATAAAATATCTAAGCCTAGCACCTTTCATCTACCACTTCTGGTTACCTGTTGATTTCTATCATCTTGACCAATCCACACACTAGAAAATGAAGGGACGACGACGTTTCGCTCTGTCCTGGTCCATTCTCAAGTCGATTGTGAATGGTCGACTTGAGAATGGTCCAGGACGGACCGAAACGTCGTCGTCCCTTCATTTTCTAGTGTGTGGATTGGTCAACATACTTCAGCCACGTTATTGTGACTCATCGCCTGTCTATCATTCTTCTCCTATAACAGCCTGACCTCTTGGGGGGGGGGGGGTCAGTCTCTCACGGTGATTGCCTGGTCGAGGGTTAGTGCCTCCTGCCACATCATGCAAGGTCTAACCAATCTCCGAACCCGATAGCCAAAAGGACCTATCAGGGGGGGGGGGGGGGGGAGCGCCAAGCCACTATGACAATATAGCACTTGGAAGGGGTCAGGATAAGGATTTGGGATGGGACGGAGGAAGGAATGGTCCCCAACCACTTGGACGGTCGGGGATTGAGCACCGACCTGCATGAAGGGAGACCGTTGCTCTACCGTCCAGCCCAAGTGGTTGGGCAGCCAAAGCCGAAAATAGCCGAGGGAATAAACGTGCAACTTACTGTACAAAAGAGAATAGTCTCGCCTAAAAGTGCTAAATAAAGCTAAAAAAAATTCCGTGTAATTTTAAACCGGATCAAAACAAAGTACAGTAGAACTAAATAGCGAGAAAATCCTTTAAAAATTCAAATAGGACTTCGGCCTATATCAAAATGAGGTTTCTGAAAGGATAAAATACAATCGGCCAACACTAGAATGTTATTAATTGTGTAGCCTAACTAGATTAAGTTTGCTCCGAAAATTTATAAAGTGCCATATCCTTTGGTAAACATCTATTGTATTGGTGCAGCTGAAACTGCAACAGAAGCGTAAACACTAGTACAAGAAGTTACAATAATGACAAAACATAGCCTGGCGAATAATGACCAATACGTCATTGACGAGTATGATGTATTCAATATTCGTCAAACAATATTAACGAGTAATCCCTTCCAAAATTGTCGCTAAATAGTTGATTTACATTTCACGACGTAAACAATCTATCTACGAACAAAAAAAATAATTAAACGTACTGTAAAATCGAAATCTATAAATAGTTGATGGACGCGAGGGTACATGGGTAAGCAAAGTGATGTGAATACTGATAAGGAAACACCTGCCAGCGAAACAATGGCACCACATCGCTAACTCGGTAATAGGAGAGAGTTCAGATTGTCTCGAGCAACCAAAGCATTCAAAGCCTCACACACTCGAATCCCTGTCATTGACATTGTCTACAATAGTTCTGCCCTTTAGTGCGCACACTACAATGCTCTTAAGAGTTGCTACGAATACAATAGGGCGCCTGGCAGCTGGGTGGAGAGCGCTTCGGATTCGTAGTCCTAAAATTCCGGGTTCGATCCCCGGTGGAGGCGGAGACAAATGGGCAAAATGTTTCTTTCACCCTGATGCCCCTATTACCTAGCAGTAAACAGGCACCTGGGAGTTAGACAGCTGCTACGGGCTGCTTGGAGGGGGGGGAGATAACAAAAAGGAGGCCTGGACGAGGACCGGGCCGCGGGGACGCTACAGCCCCGAAATCATCTCAAGATAGCCTACAATGTATTCAATAGTGACCAGAATTTATGTTATGTAAATAGGACCTACGCCTATGAACAAATCTCCAAATTATAACAAATGATTTAAGTGTTTATTTAACATGATCCTATTGGTTTGCTGATTAGGCCCACATTACTGCACTAATGTGCAATAATGATTAGGCCTGATCACTAATGATTAGGCCCAAAATATGCTACAGCATATTTTCCTTTAAATGAATACTTGAGCACTACAAGTCAAAGAAGGATACAATTTATACTATAAAGTACTTGATAACAGAATTTCCATACATTTTTATTCTAACGAGAAACGTATCATCCCTCTACTTTGGAACACTTTACAAACTGTTCACGTTTCATTCATTCATTTTTGTAACATCTACGTCAAACTGTCTTGTAGAGCCAGTCAGCCACTACAAGACATGTCGATGCTCAACAAACTATTCAGCTTCGGATGCCGTTTTAAGCCAAACCGTTTACCAGATTGGTCGACACATTAAACGTGCAAATGACATGCTTACTGGATTAATCGCTGCACCATTTGGTGTCAAATTCCGACCTTGATTATGATACTTCTTTTGAATATGCTAGCCTCCAGCACCCTAATAAACACAGCACATTAGTATTGAAATACTCCTGGGGACTGTGTCAGGATTTTACTCAATAAAGTTAAGCTAGAAACATTAATCCCGACAGTAAAATCCTACATTTTAGAGAGGAAACTATACTTCCGAACATTTATAGTGTCAACTGGTATCCTCTTTTGTCGAGTTTTTATAACATGACTGTTGAAATTGAAATAAGTTTATTGAGGTAAAATACACACAAAGGGATGAGGTAGTTCAAGCTATTCTCACTCCGTTCAGTACATCGTGTTAATACATACATTGACACACATCACAAACAAACATATTACCAAACATTGAGAGATAAATATATATACATTTCCTATGACTTGAAAAATCTCAACGGATGAGGCTATGTGTACCTCATAACGTCTTAAATTATTTTTAGGCTAGATTAATGGTAACGTCTTTGGTGTTAACACGACATTTATCCAGTTAGGCTTTCGACTGAAAACTGTGCCATTATGAGAAACGAGGGGAGTGGCCAGCCTACTGCCCAAGCAGGAAATGCCGTGCAGATGACATAATGATAGCGAGAGATCTGTGTCACAGAATTAACATCCTGACAGGATGGACCGAGAAAGAATAAAGCGAGAAATAATACAACAAATGAGAAATTCAAGTGTACGTGTTCACCGATCGGTGATCTTAATACTAAATCACTATGAAAATCATGATTCTCATATGTTGCCTAGTCCTTTTTTTTTAATTAGGTCAGACATCATAAAACTAGCTATGCTTTGATTCGAAAATGCACTTCAGCCCATTGCTGTACACTAGCCTATTCGAAGTGTCATTTACCCTCGGCAATAAACAAAATCCTGAGTATCCTCTTTTATATCAGGTTAAGAGAGGAATTACCAACTGACTTGAGCCTAACTGCCAAGAAGAAACCTAACAACCACATCTAAAGTGCTCCTGATCATGTGAAGTTACTGCCAGCACCAACAGCCTTGCCGTATGCCAGCACCAACAGCCTTGCCGTATGCCAGCACCAACAGCCTTGCCGTATCATGTTACCTGACGAGCTCGGTTAGAGAAGGAACCTCTGAGATAATGGAAGTCCCAGGCACGCCTCGGGGTAAACGCAACGATCACCATCTGCTCGAGTTTCTATATATTCATAAAATACAACGTAACCCCAATAGAAAAGTCCCCAATCATGAGCAGCGGCCAACAAGATCACGTTATTAAAGGTTTATTGATCCCTGACAGTCGCCGAAGGTTGATTGAGTATCTTGTGATGATTCCGGGAATCAATGTACCTAATCTCTAACCAGTCCTGCAGGTTGGCAGTCTATTCAACCATACTGTTAAAACACAACTGATCGCAGTCTGACTTATGAATCACAGCCCAGTTGATCAAGTATACTGGTATATAGTTAATCCCCAATCGCCTTTTCCAATTTAGCACTGATATAACACTTCGCATGACACTTAGTTTGACATATTTAGTCGTATAAAATTACCCTAACTTCAGGTTCCCCGTTCGAATGTGTTTTTTGTCTTAAAATTAAATAATGCTGTAGCAAGGAAACATTACTGTTTTTGCAAGATATATATTTTTTCCTCGGAACTTGTAAAATTGGAAGGTTTTGAGTAAAATTCATATTTCAATACAGCAAAAATAATTACTGTACACAGGGATACTACAGTAATCAGGAAATATATCAAAACACCACGCAACATACTCGAGAGTTATGCAAAAAACAGCGTATGAAGGAGACGCAGGGGGAAAATATACTCTACTCTTTCAAGTTGCTCTATTACTCGTATGTTTTGACGGGTTTTGGCACCACAGACTAAGACGCAAATGACGTGACAAACTGCCCTGCCTCATCATTGTTCAAACACAACCCATCATTCGAACGGGGAACCTGACGTTAGGCTAATTTTATATGACTAAACATGTCAAACTAAGTATCATGCGAAGTTTAAGAAAAGTATACATGATGCATTAACACTTAAGAGTACATAGTTAAAAATGACAAATTTGCGTCCCATAAGAGTGTCTGGAGAACACAATGCAATGCCACATGGATATGCCGCTAGACAGCAGAAATCAGTTGACATACTTGTGCAGTCACGATCTCCAGGGAGCCGGTGAAGGACGCGACAGGAAGCGCGGCATTGGGTAACGGATGTATGTAAGGGTAATGGTTAGGCTTCTCAGGGAGGTAGTGTGAGCTACAAAATATCACATTTCGTAAACAAATCCACAAGGGCCGTGACGAGGATTCGAACCTACGTGTGTGAGCATCCCAGACGCTGCCTTAATCGACTCGAAATATCAAATAAAATAGCAAATATCGTATACTGGTGCATTCCGGTCTTTGTAATTTTTCTATTAGACTTTTAATGTTTGGAGCAATATAGTTTTGACAGTGATGGAGCACCCATGTCTAGTTCAATTTCATCCTTTGTTGCATGCTGATTTAGCTGGCAAGTGTCAACATGAATAATTATATTTAAGATGGCACTGGCACCCAAACAAGACAGAATCGGAAACATTTAGGCCTGTACAGCAAGTTTATTTTTCCTAGACCATTACGACAAAACTGAGGACCCAAGAAATCGTCAAACCGATGTAAATTTGGTCTTCCAATGGGGGACACAAAAACTGTTCAATGAAGATGAGTTACAGATCCTTTGGTGAAAATGGAAAAAATGATAAAATGCGGTAATTTTGCAAGCGTCTGCCCGAAACGTTTTGCGTAATAGTGGTTTTAGGCATTGTATGTACTAGCTCTATCTATAAATTCATCAAAATCTGCACCACCCCTTGTATGTATGTACTTTACCTAAATAAACATTTGAATTTGAATTTTTGAATTTGTAATCACGTCGGAAGACTTTACTTTTAAGAACATAATAATGTAGCTGTCAAAACAGCAAGAATAACTGGATAACAATAACCTTTAAAACAAAATATTATCCAATAATGGTAATTTTAAAAGGCACTAGTGCTATCTAGGGGTGGAATATTGTTGCACACTAACAGCCCCATTCAAAGCTGGAGAAACCGCTGACCTGTAAAGTGTACATATATTTTTTACTGCCCAAATCCATTGAAATGAACCATCTAAATAACTGGGAACGCTTAGAATTTTTGCAAACTGTATTCATTAGACCATAGAATTGTGTGAAACCACGGTTAGGCATCAGAGGCCCGAGACTGTTCAACACGCTTCCACTACACATAAGGGGCATAACTGGCAGATCCCTCACAAGTGTTCAAGAGAGAACTGGATAAGCACCTCCAAAGGATACCTGATCAACCGGGCTGTGACTCATACGTCAGGCTGCGAGCAGCCGCGTCCAACAGCCTGGTTGATCAGTACAGCAACCAGGAGGCCTGGTCGACGACCGGGCCGCGGGGACGCTGAGTCCCGGAAACACCTCAAGGTAGGCTTCAGTGGACGTCTTGGTATCCTTGTGGGTGCAATAGTACCCCAGGCTGCATTTTTTTTTTTTTACTATGGCGTGGTGCAGTCGACTAGAGCGCGTCTGGGAACACAAGTGACATAAGTTCGAACCCTCATCAAAGCTCCTTTTGGCTTTGTTCACTGATGTATCACGTTTGTGTGATTTCTGTGTATATGCTAGGAAGCATATTAGGAAGTGCAATGGGGCTCCCCCAATGAAAATCTGAGGTTAAATAGCCAAAATGACAATTCTCTCAACATCATGGGGCTCAAGGCTTCCAATTTTCAACACACACACATCATACATATGGGGGCTGAACTAGCCGCCCTCTCAGTGTTCAAACTAGAACTTGATAAACACCTCTAAAGGATACCTGATCACCGGGGCAGAGATTCTTATGCCAGGCTGATGTCAGCAGCGTTTAACAGTCTGGTTGACCAGACAACCAACCAACCAGGCCTGGTAGAGTCCGGATCGCTTGGACAATGGTTTCCAGAACCATCATCAGGAAGATGCTAGGCCTAATCCATCCACCAGTTTCATTCACATTAGGCTTAATCCATCAACCAGCCTTCCTGGTGCACTTGTGTTTACTTTCTTTTGGAAGGACTTTACACTTAATGTTTTTTTAAGTCGTCTCGTTATGAGGCCTAGATCAAACATTTTCCGATATTTTTTTACTCTCTATAAGAGAGAGTAAACGTAATACTCTTAAAGTACTTTGAGAGTATTACTTTGAGTTCACTCTCAAAGTAAACTTCCCCGTTTACTTTGAACCTATAAAATCCATTGCTTGTTCTAAGCTACTGCTCTTACGACCTTCTTATCCCACCATGCCGTTCCTCCTCTCCTCCCTCCTGTTAATGCAACTCCAGACATTTCCTTGACATTCTTAACCAAACATTCATTTCCTTGTAGCTTACAGCCTACACTCCACATAACACGAGTTAATTTGCATAGTCTCAGTCTCTCTCTACAAGATCACTTGCCAATCTACTTGTTTTTTTGTTTCTCTTTGTTTTACCGCCTGGATTCTAGTGAATTAAACTATGATCACCCTTTTACCACTTAATGTTTTCTTACATTATATAGAATTGGACAAACCTCCATATATTATTCTAACTATTCCCATATCACACACTTAAGCATAGTCTACTTTTCTCAACAAGCACATAGGCCTAGTTAATTTTACATTAATCCAATTTCATTATTTACCCTGCATCATGTACAATCTTATATGTAAATATGTAATACGTAACTCCCTTTCATTGAATAAATCTATCAATCTACAACTATTGTCATCTATTCCTAGAAACATCAAAATATCCTAATATGTCACATTTTGCCATTTAGATAACCTATTACCATTATTCTAGAATTCCTATGTATCAAAGGGTATCGAACTCATTTGATCTGCAACACTTCCACAAAACTATTATTCTTGTAGCAAAGACCTGTATCATAAGTTAAAATTTAACATAGAAACAACGCTGTCCAAAAATATATTCTCATGTGCTTATGAACTTAAAATAGTAACCTAAATGTTATTAAAGCAAACTAAGAACGTAGTCAGTACAAATATACTTGTACTCGATTGTGATTTAATTTAGATATACACTTTTATCCTACCATGCAAAACAATATTATGCTAAACATTATATATCCGTGGCACAGACCCCTGGCTATGGTCAGTAACCAAAAAAAATTGGGAGATTTAATTACTGATAGTAATAAATTTCTGTTCTTGGTGTGCAACAAAAATACACAGGCCAGTTCCTGCCTAACACAATATACACAAAGGATATTAGTACTTCCATTACATTACACAATCCAAAAGTTAGGAAAAAAAAACTATAGCTATAGATAGAATGTAGGTTTGCCTATTGCCTTCTTTCCAGGGACCCTACACAACTACTGGTAGAAAACGTGACTTGAGTAACAATCCTTATTTTGTACTTACTTACATAGTAACCGTAAGTATTATTTGACGACAGGCTGAACAAATAACAGTTGCAAAATAAGATTAGAACAGCGAGTGCCGTTAATGACATTATTTGGTGTGTCATGCTGAGCTTGCACAGTACTCCATTTTAATAATTTAGCATTTTATTGCATCATTGTTTGGGCAGCACAACAGGATCCATGAAAACATTCGAGTCATTTGTAACAACTTGACTGACTCGACTCCTGGTATTTACTCAGGGAAGGATGCCCAACCCCACACAGCTTAGTATACTGTATTTACTTTCCCAAGCAACGCAGAACAATGGGGGACCTCAATAGATTACAAAGAACAACTTCATGTCAACAACAGAACGAATTGCATCCTATTACTCTTGCTTCCCGATCCCAATTACAACAAACTCAATACTTGTTACACCGTATTTAAAATCAGCAGCGAAACCATATCGCCATCTTCTTGTCAATCACCTGTCACCTGACCCCTGACGGAGCCAGACACCTGAGCCAATGCAGCGTCCACGGTAGGAACTTGTGGTTGTGCCCTGGTCGGCCAAGCAACTCTAGCCCCCCCCGGTGTTCTCATGTGCTCATCAAACTGACTGGTTCAACACCAGCTGGAATCATTTGTTTACTTTGAAGAGATAAGTATATAGAGTAGACAATCGGCGCTACCGCTGCGGGCAGCATACTTGTTGATTCTGCGCGGGGAAACCAACCAGATCCACTGCCAACTTCCTGCGTTATTTTAGGAAGTGTAACACTGCCCCCATCCCAGGGGGTGTGTAGTACACTCTCCACACAACACCCGCAATCAACACCCACATCTTGATTGGCAACACACGGCGGTTTAATCGTTATGAACCCACCCCTCCAAACTTATTTGCAAGAGTCAACAGCGCACGAGGGGGGGGGATGCCCAGCCGAGTGACAGTGCCAAGAGCCATAATCTCTGCTGTACTGGCGATGGTGGGCCCCACACAAACTACAATAAGGGTGGGTGGCGTAGACACGTGTCCCTCTAGACATTTTACCATGTGGGGGCCCCCTCAACACTGCCTACCTCCCCCCCCCCCACTACAGACACACACACACACACACACTATTTAACGCTGCCAACGGAACAAGTATATGTTCTCAGACCTCCCCCCCAAAGCCAGAAACGTTTCTGTTGCTGTCTTCGCTGTACGAACCCTTCCACCTCCCCCTCCCACCACGACACACACACACACACACACACAAGCCTACACACTTTTCAAAGCATTATATGACAAAGAGTGCTGGGAAGACGGGACACCACGAGCGTAGCTCTCATCCTGTAACTACACTTAGGTAATTACACACACACACTCAAGCCTATACACAAGCTACCCAAACACACACACACAGGCACAGGCCTACCCAAACACAAACACAGGCCTACCCAAACACACAAACACAGGCCTACCCAAACACACAAACACAGGCCTACCCAAACACACAAACACAGGCCTACCCAAACACCCACAGAGGCCTACCCAAACATACGCGCACAGGCCTACCCCCACACCTGCCCCACCAGGGAGCCCACAGTACCCACATGCCCACCGCTGCCCCTGGCCGGTATTACTAAGCGGGACCTCCCCTCCGCACCCTGGGAAAAATTATTCCAAACGTTTTCAAATTGAATGTTCCACTCGCGTTCATCCACCACGCTGCCGTTACACCCAACGGCTCATTAAGACGATAATTAAGACGCTACTGTAACGTCATATGTATATGTGTGGGTGTCGTAGCAGGTAATAATAAATATCGGGTTTGATGTTGGCTAAAACACTCGGGCCAACATTCACGTTCTCGAATTTTTTTCTCACTTTCCTCCTCGGTTTCATTGACAAATATTCACTTTTTCCATTCAATATTTCCTCCACGGTAAACCACACTGGACTAGCATTTCCTTATGGGTCACTTAATGGCGGTGGGTTCAAATGTCACAAGGGATAGGAGGGCGACGCGAGAGCGTACCTCCGCACACCAGCACCTGGACTCAGCGCCCAGAACACTGAGTGACGAGGCAGCTGAGGCGCCGCTGGCCTCCTCCCCCAGCTGGTGTGTGTGTGTGTAGTTACAGGCGCTGACGCCAGGGGGCCGAGGCGCGCACCTGGGGTCACGCACACCTGGGGTCACGCACACCTGGGGTCACGCACCAGCCTCTAGCCAAGTCAACTCTCCTCACCTCACCAACCTCTCGCTAGGTCAACTCTCCTAACCTCAATACACCAGTCACACTTACCAGGTCAACTCTCCTCTCCACACAATCTCAGAATGTATAACATCCCCTCTAGATACAACATCAAACCACCTGCGGCATTGTTAAACTCGACGGATCGTCGTGTTGAGTGTATTCGCCTATTTGTGCTTGCGGGGGTTGAGCTTTGGCTCTTTGGTCCCGCCTCTCAACTGTCAATCAACTGGTGTACAGATTTCCGAGCCTACTGGGCTCTATTATATCTGTGTGTGTGGGGGGGAGGGTGAGGGAGTACAGCAGAAGCAACAGGTCAAGGTGAAAACAAAAATTCCTTGTAGGCCTAATATTGTAGTATTAAATGTCTTGAAAGAAGAATTACTAACATATCGGTAGAAATGGACATTTTTAAAAGAATGCAGAATACATTTTCCCTTGATAGAAAAATGTTGTGAACACAAGCTACTCAAAGCCGATGTAAATGTTAATAAGTAGACCAAATTATTGTGCTACTTGTATTAATAGCACTAATTAAAATAATGGTCATTAAATAATAATAACTTATTACTAATAATGGGAAAAACAAAAAACAAATAATCCAAAGACGAAAATAAACACAGTAGCATACAGGGTGATCCAAAAGTGTTCCAGAAGATGAGAGGAAATGTCAGCACTGTGGAGAAATGCCCCACTGACCACTGGACCATTATCTAAAACAGCGTATAGCTACGAACCAAATACGATTTCAATTAAGATTTAACAGTAGAACAAATCCACAAGGGCCGTGACGAGGATTCGAACCTGCGTCCGGGAGCATCCCAGACACTGCCTTAATCGACTGAGCTACGACAGGGTTAAAGGGGTTGTTTAAACCCTTTTAACCCTGTCGTAGCTCAGTCGATTAAGGCAGTGTCTGGGATGCTCCCGGACGCAGGTTCGAATCCTCGTCACGGCCCTTGTGGATTTGTTCATTTGATGCATCACGTTAGTGTGATCTCTGTGTGTAATTTAACAGTAGAAGCTGTTAAACAGATTGGGCATAATCTTGCCAGCGCCAACATTCAAGTCATAAATACTCATACGCCGCCTTAGATAGAAACGAGAACCATTTTGTGGGCCAGCGAGAGGCTTGGGGCCCACGCAGGACCATCCCTCCGTCAGTATTAGGCTACGAGTTCAGTTTAGATTGTTTTCCTCCAGATTTGTCACTCAAAGGTTTTATCTGCGGTCGTGTGACAGAATAATTTCTCCTTAATAGAATTCAGGGCCAATATACCCGACACAAACCATGAACTCTCAGTGTCCCGTAATATGTGTGAAATCACTAAAGAGCAAGGCAAACTTTCCATTATTATTTTTCTGATTTCTCTTGAAGTACCTGTTTAATGTAAGCAGACATGTCACCAATAGACGCCTTCTGATATCAAAAACAACATTTTTTTTGTTATACGGCATCAGCTCCCAATATTACTTTCACAATGTTTTTGGCACGTAGACAGAGTTAAGGTCTCTCTGGCCTCTGCAGCGCCGCCCGGCCGACTCTGGCCTCCGCAGCAGCAGCAGCAGCGCCGCCCGGCCGACTCTGGCCTCCGCAGCAGCAGCAGCAGCAGCAGCAGCAGCGCCGCCCGGCCGACTCTGGCCTCCGCAGCAGCAGCAGCAGCAGCGCCGCCCGGCCGACTCTGGCCTCCGCAGCAGCAGCAGCAGCGCCGCCCGGCCGACTCTGGCCTCCGCAGCAGCAGCAGCAGCGCCGCCCGGCCGACTCTGGCCTCCGCAGCAGCAGCAGCAGCGCCGCCCGGCCGACTCTGGCCTCCGCAGCAGCAGCAGCGCCGCCCGGCCGACTCTGGCCTCCGCAGCAGCAGCAGCAGCGCCGCACGGCCGACTCTGGCCTCCGCAGCAGCAGCAGCAGCGCCGCCCGGCCGACTCTGGCCTCCGCAGCAGCAGCGCCGCCCGGCCGACTCTGGCCTCCGCAGCAGCAGCGCCGCCCGGCCGACTCTGGCCTCCGCAGCAGCAGCAGCAGCGCCGCCCGGCCGACTCTGGCCTCCGCAGCAGCAGCAGCAGCGCCGCCCGGCCGACTCTGGCCTCCGCAGCAGCAGCGCCGCCCGGCCGACTCTGGCCTCCGCAGCAGCAGCGCCGCCCGGCCGACTCTGGCCTCCGCAGTAGCAGCAGCAGCGCCGCCCGGCCGACTCTGGCCTCCGCAGCAGCAGCAGCAGCGCCGCCCGGCCGACTCTGGCCTCCGCAGCAGCAGCAGCAGCGCCGCCCGGCCGACTCTGGCCTCCGCAGCAGCAGCAGCAGCAGCGCCGCCCGGCCGACTCTGGCCTCCGCAGCAGCAGCAGCGCCGCCCGGCCGACTCTGGCCTCCGCAGCAGCAGCAGCGCCGCCCGGCCGACTCTGGCCTCCGCAGCAGCAGCAGCGCCGCCCGGCCGACTCTGGCCTCCGCAGCAGCAGCAGCGCCGCCCGGCCGACTCTGGCTTCCGCAGCAGCAGCAGCGCCGCCCGGCCGACTCTGGCTTCCGCAGCAGCAGCAGCGCCGCCCGGCCGACTCTGGCTTCCGCAGCAGCAGCAGCGCCGCCCGGCCGACTCTGGCCTCCGCAGCAGCAGCAGCAGCGCCGCCCGGCCGGCCGACTCTGGCCTCTACGATGAAGATTAAGCCACCCAAAAGGTGGCACGGGCATGAACAGCCCGTAAGTGGTGGCCCTATGGAGCCATTACCAGTATCAATAGCCAATACTGGAGATCTGCGGAGGTGCGGCTGCACCCTGCGTGATGGGAGATGTCTCCCCCGTGGTGATGAAAGAATGTGAATGTAAGCTGCTATGATTTATAGGACAACGCATTTTGTTCGCTGGGGGATTGTGACGTTAAAATGCGATGTATTTTGAGGCCAGATTGACCGTGGGGCCAGGTTGACCGTGGGGCCAGGTTGACCGTGGGGACAGGTTGACCGTGGGGCCAGGTTGACCGTGGGGACAGGCTGACCGTGGGGACAGGCTGACCGTGGGGACAGGCTGACCGTGGGGACAGGCTGACCACGCACCTCCACCGTACGCTAATCATGCTTCGGGGGCCACGACTCGTCAAGCATTTACGTAAGCCACCACTTACGGAACCTGTTCATCTTTCCTCAATCTTGGTGTCCTAGTTTACATTTATTGCACAGTTCGTGGCCTTCGCTGTGCTACGAGGTTGCATATAACAACCTCGCCCCTAAAAAGAAGCCCAGTGCCTGCCTGCACTTACTGGGACGCATCAAGTGCTTCTGTGCCCTCAACAAGACAAAGTGTCACAAAGTGCTTGTGTGCCTGCGACAAGCAACCAAGGGGGAGGTCAAGGCCCAGTAAATGCACCATCAGCTCTACACTTGCTCATCACATTAACAAACAACATGTTTTTATACCTCATATCTCGCTGGAACCGGTTGGCATCCTTGTGGTGGAGTGTCCAAGCCGCACTTATGGCAATAATGAGTGCTGCACACATGAAACCTCTTGGCATAACCTGTTTAGACGATTTGCGTCAAATATATTTTATTGGATGCAAAAAACTAACCAAACCGCAGTGGACATCAAACAGCATCATCTTTGTCATGTGGAGGGAAAAGAAATGACCCTTTTAATAAGACTCCCGCATAGGATGCTCTCGAAAATGAAGTACAATCGGTATGCATTGTGTGTTACCTGTTTCTAAGATACGGGCAAGGAGGGGGTAGTGTAGTGTGCTTGCTTCCTTAAGGCGGGTGTCGCAATTATCAGTCGCTTGGTGCATAGGCACAGACGCCAGAGGACCTACGTCAGTCAAACTCACGTTTCTTAACTAACGTCAGTAAACCTACGTCATGAAAATGCTCATGTTTTTGTTTAAATTCCATGCTGGCGACCAACGCTGGCGACCAACGCTGGCGACCACCGCTGGAGACCAACGCTGGAGACCAACGCTGGCGACCAACGCTGGCGACCAACGCTGGAGACCAACGCTGGAGACCAACGCTGGAGACCAACGCTGGAGACCAACGCTGGCGACCAACGCTGGCGACCAACGCTGGCGACCAACGCTGGCGACCAACGCTGGCGACCAACGCTGGCGACCAACGCTGGCGACCAACGCTGGAGACCAACGCTGGCGACCCAGCTGCAGGAGCGAGAAACATTCACAGCATAAAAGTGGAAGATATTCATGTTACATCTTGGCGCTACGACTCGCTTAAATATTACTAAACAGCCCCGCGATGATGGTTTCAATGATGTAATATATATTCTGAAAACCATATATATATATATATATATATATATATATATATATATATATATATATATATATATATATATATATATATATATATATATGTCGTACCTAGTAGCCAGAACGCACTTCTCGGCCTACTATTCAAGGCCCGATTTGCCTAATAAGCCAAGTTTTCCTGAATTAATATATTTTCTCTAATTTTTTTCTTATGAAATGATAAAGCTACCCATTTTATTATGTATGAGGTCAATTTTTTTTTATTGGAGTTAAAATTAACGTAGATATATGACCGAACCTAACCAACCCTACCTAACCTAACCTAACCTATCTTTATAGGTTAGGTTGGGTTAGGTAGCCGAAAAAGTTAGGTTAGGTTAGGTAGGTTAGATAGTCGAAAAACAATTAATTCATGAAAACTTAGCTTATTAGGCAAATCGGGCCTTGCATAGTAGGCTGAGAAGTGAGTTCTGGCTACTAGGTACGACATATATATATATATATATATATATATATATATATATATATATATATATATATATATATATATATATATATATATATATATATATATATATATATATATATATCTTATGGGAGCACTATTCTGCATTATACTTGTACTAGTATACCCTAGTATATTAACATATACTGGTTTTCCCTGGAACACGACCCGCCAATCAGTTTACAATCAGGTCACCAATTATCGCTGAATGAACAGGAGGGAGAGGGGGGGGGGAGGGCGAAACAGCTTACGATATGCGCCTAAGCAACTCTCCCTTGACTAGCCTCGAACCCAAACAAAATCGCTCAGCGAGATGGGCGAGTGTGCTGCCACAACCCTCCACAAAGTTCTAAATAACAATGCTATACATGCCACATGGTACTAAACTTTATTTGTTCATAGAGAGACTCACTCTCACTCTAAGATCACTATCAGTTCCCCTGGAAACACAAACCGAAACTGTCTCTATTTTCTTGTTACAACTTGTAATAAAATTGTTACATCTTGGCTTAACGTGTTTAAGACGTATTAGAACGTTGTTACAACTTGCTATATTGGTTGTTATAACTAGTTAGGTGTTAAAACTTGTTCGAACGTTGTACCAACGTCGTAGTTTCAGTGTGTGTTTGGCGGGCGCGATCCTCTTTACACACATCTGCCAGTTTCCTTTCACTCAATCTTTATCATCCTTCCTCCTGGAGCCTTGCTTCGTACAGTCAATAACAACATTTTCTCACCAACATTTCATTTTCATCAACTATTCTCACCTCACCAAGCTCCAATATGTGATCACCTATCCCCCCCCCCCCTCACCCATCTCATATCACACACTTAAGCAGAATTATCTCAACATAGCCATATACTAAAAAAAATGCCCTGAGCCATGTATATTTTTGTATAGTCTCATGATTAGAATATGTATTAATAATACATAACATAACGTTCACTGAATAAATCTCTCAATATACAAGTCACTTATTCCTGTGACACCTTCACCGTCCATCATTCCATTCTTCGGGGTTAATTGCCACTTTATCGTTCAGATAATTCAGATAATTGTTCATTACAATTATTCCATTCTTCCTAGGTATTATACCAAGGTTTCCCTGTTACTGCACAATGACTTCCTACCTTCCTCACCTCGGCTACCACATGGGTCGTATATAATCAACCCGTCCTCCTAATAGACGCATTTTGACGTATACCCAAGAGTAGTTGTACTAGAAAATGTCAGTGGCTCGCGAAATTGACGTACTGTCTCGTTTTCTGTTTTGGGTCCTCTGGTGGGTCAGAATACAGGACACGTTAGTACGTTAGTTTCCTGATGTAGGGAAATCTTAGGAGGACGGGCTGAAATAATAATTTCATTCATTCATTCATCCTTTACTCATTCAAACTTCAATTTCACATTGAATGGGTAATGCATTGCCCATACAACAGGCATATTCCTTACTTCTCTCACTATCATCCTGTTTCTCACTTGTTCCCCTCATATTCCACACTGCTATACGAACCTGCCTCTGTTTTTATAGGACCTGTAGAGGCGCGGCTTCTCTAGACCTTCAGTGAGAGGAACGTTCTCTAGACCTTCAGTGAGAGGAACGTTCTCTAGACCTTCAGTGAGAGGAACGTTCTCTAGACCTTCAGTGAGAGGAACGTTCTCTAGACCTTCAGTGAGAGGAACGTTCTCTAGACCTTCAGTGAGAGGAACGTTCTCTAGACCTTCAGTGAGAGGAACGTTCTCTAGACCTTCAGTAGACCTTCAGTGAGAGGAACGTTCTCTAGACCTTCAGTGAGAGGAACGTTCTCTAGACCTTCAGTGAGAGGAACGTTCTCTAGACCTTCAGTGAGAGGAACGTTCTCTAGACCTTCAGTGAGAGGAACGTTCTCTAGACCTTCAGTGAGAGGAACGTTCTCTAGACCTTCAGTGAGAGGAACGTTCTCTAGACCTTCAGTGAGAGGAACGTTCTCTAGACCTTCAGTGAGAGGAACGTTCTCTAGACCTTCAGTGAGAGGAACGTTCTCTAGACCTTCAGTGAGAGGAACGTTCTCTAGACCTTCAGTGAGAGGAACGTTCTCTAGACCTTCAGTGAGAGGAACGTTCTCTAGACCTTCAGTGAGAGGAACGTTCTCTAGACCTTCAGTGAGAGGAACGTTCTCTAGACCTTCAGTGAGAGGAACGTTCTCTAGACCTTCAGTGAGAGGAACGTTCTCTAGACCTTCAGTGAGAGAACGTTAGGGAAGGATGGCTCCCAGCCCAATACGCATCGCCTATAACGTAAGGAATGCAAGGCTGACTACACCATATATTGGACAATAAGATTCTATGAATGTTCTTGGTTTTCATCGAGGCTGTGTGTCCTAACAACAGTACTAGTGGTGGTGGTAGTCTTAATTGTAATTACAGGATGAGAGCTACGCTTGTGGTGTCTTCCCAGCACTCATAACGGTGGGTGTATACTCACTTAGTTGTGCTTGCGGGGGTTGAGCTCTGGCTCTTTGGTCCCGCCTCTCAACCGTCAATCAACTGGTGTACAGATTCCTGAGCCTACTGGGCTCCATCATACCTACATTTGTAACTGCGTATGGAATCTCCCTCCACCATTACTTAGTGCATTTCATTTACTAACTACTCTGACACTGAAAAAAGTTATTTCTACTGTCTCTGTGGCTCATTTGAGTACTCGGCTTCCACCCGAGTCCCCTTGTGCGTATACCACCTGTGTTAAATAATACATCCTTGTCTACCTTGTCAATTCACCAGAGAATTTTGTATGCGGTGATCATGTCTCCCCGAGCTCTTCTGTCTTCCAATGACATGAGGTGCAGTCCACGCAGCCTTTCCTTATAACTCATGTCTCTTAATTCTGGGACTAGCCTAGTGGCATACTTCTGAACTTTTTCCAGCTTAGTCCTGTGCTTGACAAGGTACGGGCTCCATGCTGGGGCCGCATACTCCAGAATTGGTCTTACGTTTGTTTGTGGTGAGAGAGAGTGTGAGTGAGTGAGTGTGTACGTACACACACGAGAGTGTCCGTCTCTTTTAAAGTTGGAGGCCAGATGCTTAATGCTAGCCTCACCCAAATTTTCAGAAGGAATGGTCTGGGATGTAGGACGGACATAGGCTGGTTGGAGTAGGCCTAATTTAAATGCTTTAAGAAATATTAACAATTAAAAACACCTAAGCAATTTTCAAAGACACAAGTCTGAATTATGCCATGTGATTAATGTAGAGTTGGTACTGAACAAAAATTAATTTATCAATTGTAAATGTTATTGGCAAAGTGTGGAACCGAATTGCAGGAAAAGTTGGCATCTGCAACTAGGACTTAAGTTGCAACATTACATCATTAAAATTAATAACCCACATTATTGGACCAGTGAAACTGGAGAAGCCCCACTCTCTCTCTGGCTGTATTGAGCTAAGTCAATACATCACATCAGTGAGTCAATACTCACCATTGTTCCAACGTTTTGTTCATTCTGAAGGTGAATAATGAGGATAAAATTGTCCCACAAACCCCTCCTCCCTTTCCCCCCCCCCAGCCCACAACAATCTCCACCGGAGAGCCGGTGGCTGTGTGGATAGCACGCTGGACACGTAATCCTGTGGCCCGGGGTCGATTGCCGGCGAAAAAAAAATGGGCAGTTTCTTTCACCCTGATGCCTCTATTACATAGCAGTAAATAGGTACCTGGGAGTTAGACAGCTGTAACGGATTGCTTCCTGGGGGAGGGGGAGGAGAGTGCGAGAAAAAAAAATAGTAGTTAGTAACAGTTGACTGATTGACAGTTGAGAGGCAGGTCGAAAGAACAGAGCTCAACCCCCGCAAGCACAACTAGATGAATACAACTGGCTGATGAATCATGAGACATGGACGAGGCAGGCATCAAGCAGACGCTGAAGCAGGCGCTGAACCAGGCGCTCAACAAATCATCAAACAAGTACACCACTAACAAGCACAAACGTCAGAGGACGCCAAATATATATATATATTTAGATCTCGCAGAGAAACCTGCCCAACAGCCTTAAGTATTGCATTAATGACCACACCCTCCCCCTCCCCCCCCCCCGCTGTTCATAAGGTTAGGGAAATATTTTCTCGTTTAATATCAAAGTTGTTGAACGAGTTAGTATAATTGGCGGCTGACCCGTTGTTAATTAAAGAGCAGAGTGACCACGTGTAGAGATAACAGGTGTGGGTGACCTCTTGCCGGATCCACCCCTCCCCCCCCCTCCCCCTCGCCTCTGTCATCCACACCTGCCTGGTCTTCGAGCTCCCCCCCCACCACACACCTACATCAACCCACACCTGTAATGAGCTGGTGAGAGATACGCACAGATGCTGCGTTTCCGGTTTGGTATTAAAGTACGTGGGAACGTCTCCTGAGGCTGGGAGGGGAGGGGGGGGTCTGGTAGTGCAGGCTTGGGAGGGGGGGGGGGGGCTGGAGGTGCAGGCTGAGGGGGGGCCTAGCTATACTCAGCAGTGGCCATGTTGACAATGGGGTGACATGACTGACGAAGGTGTAGAGCAGGAGGTGGGTGGGGCCACACCCCCGACCCCCCCCCCCCACACACCACACCACCTCTACATCCACACTATACATCAACCACCACACGGGGATGACCTCACTATACGAACCTATACAAGAACACGCACCACTGACAAGACCTTGGGCCAGATTCACGAAAGCACTTACGCAAACACTTACGAACCTGTCCATCTTTTCTCAATCTATGGCGGCTTTGTTTACAATTATTAAACAGTTAATGAGCCCCGAAGCACCAGGAGGCTGTTTATAACAATAACAACAGTTGAATGGCAAGTTTTCATGCTTGTAAACTGTTTAATAAATGTAACCAAAGCCGTCAAAGATTGAGGAAAGATGTACACGTTCGTAAGTATTTGCGTAAGTGCTTTCGTGAATCTGGCCCCTGGCCTATCAACCGTCCCCGCAGATAATTGATGAAGATTTAAGATCTCATAAGAAAACACAGTCGCTTCCTGCAGACAGCCAGACACAACAACGTGGCTGAACACTAAACACCCAACTCCACACGTCACAAAATAGAGAATGTGACAACCTTTCAGTCCTAGATCATTATCACGTAGTTGATGTTTAATTTAAACAAACAAGTTTCAATGACAATGACCGTTCCATTAACGAGCTCAAACTGTGTGTCGGACCTAACGAGTTACTGAAGCTACAATGTATTTACATCTTATTAAAAATAAGCTAACAGGACCGAAACCAATTAAATCATTAAGGTTACAGGCAACAGCTGGCCGCAGCCGGCTTTCAAATTGAGTCAGTAACTAATAACACATCAATTGACTAAATCCCCGCGACAGTGAATGACAAAAATCCCCGCGACAGTGAATGACAAAAATCCCCGCGACAGTGAATGACAAAAATCCCCGCGACAGTGAATGACAAAAATCCCCGCGACAGTGAATGACAAAATCAGGGCAAGAGTTAAAGGTCGTAAGATCAGTCAAGAAGCTCTCAGGTAAGCAGTCAATAAGATCAAGACTACACAAGCACGAGAAGAGGAAGACTACGTCTCTTGGAGACACTGGTTGCTTCTCAAGGATATCAAGTCGGCTCTGGCCTACTGGGACCACACTGGCAGGCCTTAGATATAGGCCTTAGGACCTGATATCTTAGGGCCAGATATATATACGCCTCAGGGCCAGCACACGATAATCTATTAATGAAAATCTATTCCTACATTAATTTCAGAAATGTATTCAATTTATTGGAGAGTTGATCATTTGAATTATTAAAGCAAGAACGCACACAGCCTAAACATTAAGAAACATTTAATTTAGATTAATTGACATCAAGGTAATGGTAGACAATATTTACTGATTAGTTTATATTCCAGCATCGATTAAAATGTTTCCTACGGATTTCCTTATTAAAATAAATGTTAAATAATTTGTTGGCTGGGCAAGGTAGTATAAACACAAAATTTAAGTCAGAGTTGTTTTAATTCAATCAATAAAGGGCGTGGAATCTGATGCAATTACACAGGCGAAGTGTATTAGGGGTCAGTTCCAGACTATATAGACCGATATGCACAGCCTTCTTTCTAAATTTATAAAATATAATGTCTGTGTGTGTGTGTGTGTGTGTGTGTGTGTGTGTGTGTGTGTGTGTGTGTGTGTGTGTGTGTGTGTGTGTGTGTGTGTGTGTGTGTGTGTGTGGTGTGTGTGTGTGTGTGTGTGTGGTGTGTGTGTGTGTGTGTGTGTGGTGTGTGTGTGTGTGTGTGTGGTGTGTGTGTGTGTGTGTGTGTGTGTGTGTGTGTGTGTGTGTGTGTGTGTGTGTGTGGTGTGTGTGTGGTGTGTGTGTGTGTGTGTGTGTGTGTGTGTGTGTGTGTGTGTGTGTGTGTGTGTGTGTGTGTGTGTGTGTGTGTGTGTGTGTGTGTGTGTGTGTGTGTGTGTGTGGTGTGTGGTGTGTGTGTGGTGTGTGTGTGTGGTGTGTGTGTGTGTGTGTCTAAAGTCGAAGGCCAGATGTTTAGCGTTAGCCTCACTCAACTTTACAGGGTGACACATTGGTGGTTGGGGATTGTCATACGTGGGGTCAGGGGTCGGGGCCCCCCATTGCCTCCCGCCTTTAATAGTCGGTTTTTATTGCGACAGAAAAACTACCATAAAATCTGAAATAGCGGATTATTTATCATATTTTTTCCAACAGGGAGAGAGAAATGGTAGGAAGAGGGAGATGAGGGAGAGGATGGGGGAAAAGATGTACACAAACACTTCGGAAATGTATTCATATAAATTTGTTGAGGCCCCGAATGTAAATTTGGGGCCTCGCGGCTGAGTGGACAGCGCTCGGGAGTCGTAGTCCGAACATCACATGAAAAGTGTTTAACCAGGATTATCAAGCTCACCTAAGAGTCAAGTTACCTTCAGTACTAGAATGAAATGCATTTCACAAGAGAAGACATGACAGAAGACTTGACAATTAGTAAGGAAATGTTTGGCGTAATGTCTAAGGAACCTGATCAGCGGCAAATTTAAGTTAGCCAAGTTATCATGCATAAACCAAATTCTTGAGGTTATCTTGAGATGATTTCGGGGCTTTAGTGTCCCCGCGGCCCGGTCCTCGACCAGGCCTCCACCGCCAGGAAGCAGCCCGTGACAGCTGACTAACACCCAGGTACCTATTTTACTGCTAGGTAA